CGGTGCACGCTCCCCGGGCTGCGCCGCGGGCTCCGAGTCTGGGCCGTCGCGCGGGAGTCCCCGCTCCCAGCTGGTGCGCGCGGTCGTCCGGCCTTTGTTGTTGGGTTAGGCTCTACGACCGTAAGGTCTTTGTTGATGTTCCCGAGCCAATCCCGCCGGACCTGCAAGCTGGGAGTGGCGGCGGCGTCTGCGGTACGCGGCCGTTAGCGCTGGCTGCTCTCCGCGGTGCAAGGGAGCTGTCACCCATTCCGGAGTCGGTTGTCCCTTGGGGGCGGCTTTTCCAGTGTCGGTTTCTTCTTTACGTTCCGGAAGAGTAGGATTTCCGGCCCCCTGCACCCCCACCCCCACCCCTCATTTCTTGGGTTCTTTCCTGTTGAGTGTCTTAGTTGACAAGGGATTTGTGCTTGGGTCGGTTGCAGACCTTCCCATTCTTTTCTTGCCCAAGGACATTGCTTTCGAACAGCGTGTTCTAACTACGATTTAGAATGTTAGTAACAATTTGCTTATGACAGAAATCAGAGTTTGGGTTTACATTTGGACTTAATTCCAAGGCGCTGGTGCTTGCGTTGGAGAACATTGATAAAATTGCCCAAGTGAGGAAGAAATAGACCGTTTTCATACTACGAGGGAACCTAGTGGATGTCTCATTGTTGAGATTTTGTTTTGGAAACACTGAGGTTTGAACAGTGGTGGAGCATTTTAGGACTGCAGAGTTACTCTTTCGCTCGCCAGGTTCCAGATTCTGCAGTCTTTCTGTATAGGCTCAGGGTACCTGATCTCATACAGAAGAATCTCCATTGCTATATGCACTTTATGCTTATACATTGTTTGATTGCTACTCATTATTTTAGAAAGAACTTTGTAGAATCGAGGATGCCTTGTTTTTAGATATATGCAATTAGAAAGTTGGAGGCAACATTAGAGAGCCATTGTTTCAAGAATTTTTGACATTTCTGCCCTGAAAAAGTGCTCACTTATTCTTACTTGGTCTTTATATGCAAAGCTTATTTTAAACTGGAGGAATTATTTTAGTGTAGTTTCCAAATAGGCTCTCACTTATAAGTGGAGTCCACTTTTGGGGGTTTTGTTTGTTAAGTGTACGTCACCTTTTGGGAGATTGGTTTGTTTCTAGATGGAATCTTACTGTGTAGACCTGGCTGGCATTGACTTTTGGGTAGTTGTCCTACTTCACCCATCCCCAGTGCTGGGATTTCAGATTTGCGCCACCATGACCAATTTGGAGTCAGCTTTTTAACCTGTAGAAAAATATTAAGGTCTATTTTAGTTTGGCATATTAATTCCCTAAGTATGTCCACTGATGAAGTTTATTTTTTTTTTTTTATTGATGATGGTTTTAAGGATGAATAATACTGGGAAAATGAAGTCTCATGCAATAAAGACTATAGGGTTCTTTATTTTTGGCGATTAATATAAAAGTGTCACTGTGTGTGTGTGTGTGTGTGTGTGTGTGTTAAATGGTACTAGGAAATGAGCATCCTTGATACATCATTAGGTATTAAAGTTACTTTTAATGAATGAAACAGTTTTTAAAAATGAAGGTATTTTCCTTGTTGGGTTTATTAAGTGATGAGTCTTAATGTCCGTATATCATTTTTTATTATCTTGATAAAAAAATCAAACTAATGAACTAATCAGTGGTAGTTTTCAAAAATTATAAGTTATAATTCATATTGAGGACAGTATTACATAGCACACAGGCTGGCCTCAAAGTCACTTAGTGGAGGATGATCTTAAATCTTTGATTTTCTTGTTTCCATCTCTCCAGTGCTGGGATTACGAGTGTGTTCCATGATGCTGGGTTTTATTCCATGCTGAGGGTCACCCAGTGTCTCTTGGGTGCCAGGCATGCACACTCTAAAGACTGATTTATGCTCTCCACCCCCAAATTATAAGCCATAAATAAAAGTGATCTCTAGACCTGGTATAGAGCCCTAATCCTGCATTTGAGAGGCTGAGGCAGGCAGGTGAGATTTTTGAGGCCAACCTGGGTCACATAGAGAATGGGGGTGGGGTTCCAACTCAAACATTTTTAAGAATTGTGTCTGGACATCTACTTCAGTTAACATGGGATTTAATGTTAGAAGTCTAACCTTGGAATTACAATTCAACCTTTTCTACAATTCAACCTTTTCTACATCTTTCTCCTGTCTAGAACTTGGCTGTTTGTGCTTCAGGAATGCCAGAATGGATAAACTTATCAGTCACAGGGCTTCAGAGATAATATTCTGTGAGCCTTGAGCAATGCTCAGTTTTTTAAACTCCTCAGTTTTGTGTTTATTTAGAGATTGTTCTGGTGTGTGTGTGCACATGTGTGTGTGTGTGTGTGTGTGCGCGCGCGCACGCGCGCGCGCGCAACCGTGTGCACATGTCACAGCACGTAGATGTGAAGAAAGGCTTGCAGGAGTCAGTTCCCTCCTCTACCTTGTGAGACCAGGGATCAACTCAGGACTTCACTAGCCCAATTTTTATTTATATATATTATTAAAAATACTTTTAAGGTTTATTTTTATCTAATGTGTATGGGTGTTTTGTCTATGTTTATGTTTAATGCATCATGAATCAGAATTTATGACACCATCATGAAGAGGGTGTCAAACTCTCTTGACATTCCGAGGCTCTCTGCAACTACCATGCCAGTAGATTAACAGTCTGAGGGAGGCAAGACAATATTTTGATTCCACATGACTGAAAAGCCAGATTTGCAGGAGCCCTTTGGCAGGGGGATTCAGGTCCCAAAGGAACCAGCATGATGACGGCAACATGGATGGACGTGCAGACGAACACACCATCTGAGGGAGAATCAAGTTGTCTGCCGGCACACTGTATTGAGAAAAGATTACAGCTTTTATACTGTATAGTTTCACACAGGGCTAAATGTGGGAGAGGGCCTTGTGAACTGGGGTGTGGTTTAGACCAGGGGTTGAGGAATCTAGATTGACCTTGACAATAGGTACCACAAGTTCCTCTTGCTAGAGATAAGAATAACTGCTTTACCAACTAGTAACTTTCCTCAAGCCCCCAAGGAATGAAGACCTTTATCTAAATGCCTGATCTTGGGAAAAGAACTGCTTTGGGGTAGCAGACACTACTACAGTTTCTTAGTTTTAACTCTGTGGGCCTGTTGTTCCTTCAACACTCCCAGAAGGGAAAGTTCTGGTATCTTACTCTTTCCCCATTATACTGGACCATTCTGCTTTCTCTATATTTATTAACGGAACTCTTGCCCTTACTGGCCTCAGGCTCTCGATATGAATTGTAGGCATTTTATCCTTGGGATCACGTGTGTCTAGTAAATCTCTAGTGTTCCTGTTCTTGGTGTAATTAGGATGACACATTGGAATTCTTGATTCCATAGTAGCAGTGATTTTTTTTCCAAAGAATTATTTTGTTTAGAGAGGCTACATTGTACACATTTTCATCCTTTATCAAAGCGGGTGCAAAATTTCCCACAGGGAAAGGCATTAATATTGAGAATCATTAGAAATGGAAGTAAAAAGGTGTTGGAGACGTGTGGTCTGCAGTGTTGAAATGCTGGAACTTCGTCAGGCATTGCTGGTCACCATGTGGTCCACACCAACCAAGTATTGCTTTAAACTCTAGGACCCTCATGTAGTTTGTTTTAGACAGATTTTAAGCGCAGTACAATTTGGTGAAAAGTTTCCTGGTCAATCCCATGTGCACAGTAAAGTCTAAGATGTGATTGCATCTAAACTCTTTGTCACGTGACATCTTCTATAGGTTCTATAGACTGACAAACTTTACCGTGAGAGCGTGGGGAGGATTTGATGTGGTCTCACAGCACAAAGGCCGCCCATCTACTCTCAGCCTTCCGGGCAGATAGCAAGCTATACATCCCTTCATCTGAAGGAACAACCCTTCATGTTTAACGTTTCTGGTTCCCTTAGTATTTATTTGTGATCCATGCCTCCCACAGAACTTGGGGTACAGATAGCTGTTAACACATGTGTGGGTGCTGGGAACCTACCACAGGTCCTCTTCAAGAGCAGTGGGTGCTTTAATTACTGAACCCATCTCTCCAGCCCTATTTACTTTAAGATCATTATTATTTTATGTTTGTGTGGCATGTGTGGATGCAGCCCTGTCACAGTGTATACGTGGAGGTCAAATGACTGCTTTCAAAACTGGATTGTACTTTTCACAGTGGGGTCCAGGGTTAATTTCAGATCATCAGATTTGTGTGGTAAGCATCTTTACCTGCAGAGCCATCCCTTCAGTCCTGTATTTTAAACTAAGCCACGCCCCTGCATTCTGGAACCAGGCAGGGGGATTTCTGAGTTTCAGGCTAGCCTGGGAAACCTGTGTCACAACAACAACAATAACAAAAACTCAGTGTTGGGCAGCGGTGGCGCACACCTTTAATCTCAGCACTTGGGAGGCAGAGGCAGGCGGATCTCTGAGTTTGAGGCCAGCATGGTCTACAAGAGCTAGTACCAGGACAGGCTCTAAAGCTACAGAGAAACCCTGTCTCGAAAAACCAAAAGAAACCCAACAACAACAAAATCTCAATGTCAACAGAAAAGGATTGGCTACTGTTCTCCATTTTCCTTTCTCTTTTCTTCTCTTCCCTTTCCTTTTTAAAAAAGGAAAACAATCTGGGTGAGGTTGGCACTTGCCTTTAATCCCAGCACTCAGGGAGGAAGAGGCAGGTGGATCTCTGAGCTGGAGACCATCCTGGTCTCCAGAGTAAGATCCAGGACAGCCAGAGGTACACAGAAAAACTCTTACCTAGAAAAGCAAAACAAAACAGAAAAGCGAAAACAAAGTCTGGCCTTGGTCTTTCTGCCTCAGCCAGCCTTCTCTATAGGTCTGTTCCGCCATGGTTTGCTTGCTTGCTTGCCTGCCTGCCTTCCTTCACGCAAAGTAGTTGTCCATACATATATATGGGGCAGAGTATGTTACAGTTGTATGCATTATGTAATGATTGAATCAGTGTTATTAGCAGCTCCACCACTTCAAAACATCAGTAATTTCTTTGTAATGAAGCCATTCTATATCCTTTATTCTAGCTAGCTATTTTGATAAACACATTACATTATTCTTGTTACTCTAACATGTAATAGGGCATCCTATTCCTAATTGTAACTTTGTACTATTACATAAGTTCTATTTGTACCCTCTTTCCCCAGTCTCTGGTTCCACAGTTTGGATTCTACATGTTTTGTGTTTCTGTGTTGGGTTCCTTTAACTGAACTTCACGTCTTCCAGTTTAGT